TGTTATATATTAAAAGACATAATTTCTTTATATAAGAAAGTTGAATAGCTACTGGTAAAAATAATAGTCTTTATTAAGTACTATTTGTCAAGCACTTTACTAAGCACTGTATTTGCAGTCATACATTGTGAAAGTGTGCTAAATTTATATACTACACAGAGTTTTTAGTTGGGGTTTTTGAAAAATGTAAATGCTAGAAGAGTAATGTTTAATAATCTGTATAATCTCTGTAACACTGGGGAAATACATCATTTTCTTGAAGTAGTTGGAAGTACTTTTAAAGAAGGCACACTTTCTATAACATCTTATTAAAATTACCCATCTTGTGATGAAAACTGGTGAAATTAATATAACCTCTCATGATGGCCAAGCTTTGTTACCCTTTACTGGAGTGGTTCTTATTCTAATTCTTAACAAGTTTGATGTCTGAATTCATTTGATATCTAATAAAATTGTTGACACGGAAATGTAGTTTTGACACTTCAGAAGAGACATTTTCTACTTTATAATATTAAGTTCCTACATGAGAAATTTGAGAAGCCACCAAAGTAAACATTTTGTTATTCATTTAAAGCTCTTAATTGAGCTGGGCACGGTGGCTCACACCTGTAATCCCAGCACTTTAGGAGGCTGAGGCGGGCAGATCACGAGGTCAGGAGTGTGAGACCAACCTGACCAACATGGTGAAACCCCGTCTCTGCTACAAATACAAAACTTAGCCGGGTGTGGTGGCAGGCACCTGTAATCCCAGCTACTCTGGAGGCTGAGGCAGGAGAATTGCTTGAACCCAGGTGGCAGAGGTTGCAGTGAGCCGAGCTCACACGCTGCACTCCAGTCTGGGCGACAGAGCGAGACTCCATCTCAAAAAAAAAAGCTCTTAATTGTTTGAGCACTTTTATGCCATTTAGAGGCAACCAGTATTAATATTTAAAATTCAATTTTATTTAAGATTGTATTATCAACATTAGCAATCAGACTGAATAATTAAAGGGCCATTAAAGTAATACATAGGAATTAAAAATTTTGTATAGAAGAAAAATTAAATTAAAAACCCTCTTGGTTTGAAATGAAATATTAATGTAAGACAGGCGTTTTTGTTTGTTCTTAACTAAATAAGCCTTTTTTTCCTAAAACTATGACATCATTAATAACTTCCCCCATACTCCAATAATAGACAGTTTTTTCCTATCATCTCCCTTGTACCTAGAGCAAACTTTCAGTTGTTTTTGACAATATGAATGGAATGGTAAAGCCTGGAAAGTTCAGTAAAATATATTATAACTGAGTTTTTCTCATCAAATTTTTAACTACATCTGCTATTGACAGGTAAACAAATTTTAACTGATTGCCTTTTGCTTTCCATGATAACATGCAGGTGAGCACGCAAATAAGTGGTAAAAGACCAATGGAGCAGTTCAAAGAAATAGACAAAGTAACCAACAAACTAAAGAACTCATTTCTGAATATTTTTCTATCCCCCTACCCTCCCTTATGAACTCCTTGTTGGCAGTAACTGTCTTATTCTTCTGTAAATGACAGACACATCAGCTGGGGTAGTTCATTTAAGCCAGTGTAGGTGATTTAGGGTGGCAACTTTAAATAGCTGCCATGAAATGTTGTCATTAGTTTGCTAGCGGCAGGAAAAACAAAATGAAACAGGAATATACAAAAGGAGGTAAAGAGTCTCTCTTACGTTACATAAACCTTATGTTTGAGGGTAGGAGGCAAACCTTTAAAAAAGTATATTAATTTATTTATTTAGAGACAGGGTTTTGCCATGTTGGCCAAGTTGGTCTTGAACTCCCGGGCTCAAGTGATCCTTCCACCTCGGCCTCCCAAAATGCTGGGATAACATGCATAAGCCACCACTCCCAGCTGAAAATTTTTAAAATTTATTGTTAGTTCATATTTGGGGACCAAAAATCTCACTTTTCAGTCTGAGAGTTTGCAAAAATGGAAGTGTAGTGTCTTATAAAAAAATATAAAACATACGTACTAATAGCCAGCCTAAAACTGCCTGTTACCAGCCTAATCTAGTAATTAAAAATTTCAAAATCTGGGAATAAAAGCAAGATTAATTAAAGTACTTGGTGGTTACCCATAGGGTGTGTGTGTGTGTGTGTGTGTGTGTGTGTGTGTGCGCGCGCGCGTGCGCGCGCGCATGTGTGATTAGCAACCACATGGCAATGTATTCAGTATTGTTATTTGACAAATAAGGATGAGGAATTTTGATTTGGAAATGAGGATAATAAATTTCTCATGTGCCTTTAAAAATATATCTTTTAAATGAACTCTTACTGAGAGAATAACTACTAAAAATTAAATTGTAGTTTTTTATTATAATATTTTGCTTTGATTTTATATTAAAAACTGCCAACCAGATAACATCTAAATGTATCTTTTTCAATATGACAAAGTTACATAAGAAGACTCCCCTTGCACGTAAAGAAAAATGCAATTATTTTCTATTCTGAATCTCCAGACTGCTGTTTTAGAAAATCATATCTGATTATTTGCTCAGCAGAAGATTATTGAGTTGATTTAGCTGTGATTTTACTTAACAAAGCTTCAACTGCATTCCTACTGTGGAGTCCGAAAAAGGTAGAGAGATATAAATGATATATTCAAACTGTGATTTTTGTGAACAGGGCCATCGATGCACCCCTCGGAGCTAATAGCGGAGATGAGAAACAGTGGGTTTGCACTGAAACGAAATGTACTGGGGAGAAACTTGACCGCAAATGATCCATCACAGGTAATGATCTTTTTATCAGTAAGCTGAAAATGTCTATAAATCTAAATGTGATTGCTTGTGAATTGCTACTTAATGTTTTCCAATATGCATATATCCATAGGAAAGTAAGATAGAGCAAAGCAAATACCCAAAATGTATTTTGATTTGGCTTTATTATTTCAACCTAAATGAGAAATTGTTTACAAACCTGTATTTTAATAAATGAAACTGCTCCTCTGAGTTTATGTGGATAAAATATCTAACTGAACTGGTGATGAGGCTGTTGGTTTTTCCTTCCTGCTAAATTATCCCTGATATGACATTAAATAGAACCAGTGGTTAGAAGTAGGTAAAAACCCCTAAAAATCGTAGAAAATATTTTAAACTTATTTATTTTATTAAACTATACATAGGTCCAGAAAATGATTGAGTTTGAAGGGTTATATTATTATATATTTGATAATGTGCTGTTGAAATTATAAAGGCTAAAATTGTGGCTATTTTGACCTGCCTTTAAAACTCATAATCTTATTTTTTATATTTCATTAAATTAAAAATAAAGTATTTAAACTGGCAAGTGTTAACATTCAAGAGATAGAGAATGGAAGTCATGCTCTAAACATTTTCTCTGTGTGTGTCTATCATCCTTTTCCTGGAAGAGTTTCCTGATGCTGGCAAAGCAGTCATGTTAACCTCTTAGTGCTGTATGATCCACTTCGGCAGGGAGACTACAAAAAAAATGTTTAATTCCCTCCCATTTCCCAATCCAAAATACCATACTCATCTACAGTGTGTCCCTGATACAAAACTGAAATGTTTAATTTTTCCTTTACATTGTGTGTTTCAGTAGACATCAGTTAGCTGTCTTCAGTATGAACTTGGGATAAGGGCAATAAGAAACCCTATTGTCTCCACCCTCCACTAAGATGAACTGGCAGTGTGTCAGGAAAATTCCCAGTATGGAGCAGTTTTATTACAATTCAGTACAATTGGTTCTTGCATAACCTTTAGAAAATCATACATAAAACATTCTCATCTATATAAATAAAAATCACCCCCACACTTTATTAATAGCTTTGTTCACTTTTTCCCGGGTGTTATGCTGCATGTTCCTACTGAGCCCCTTTTTTTAGTCTTTTTAAAAGGTAACTTTCTCTAAGCTTTCTTAAAAGAAAGGTTATGGTAATATTAGGAATCAAATATAAGTGTAAGAGAATTCTTGATAAGTCCTATTAGACACAGATCTCCCTGTTGATCAATACTCTAGTGTCTAACTGTCCTTTTTACATTTAGTGACAGGGACTGGCTTATTCACTAGATACAGCCAATTTTAGGAAAGCAAAGGGACAGAAGATTGTACTTTCATGGAAATAATCATATTTAATTTGTGATAATGTTTGAGGTTTATTTTAAAACCTTTTACAGTTATACTACTGTTAGTTTGGCTGCAATAAATACATGGGAAAGTGATTACAAGAACATATAAGCAGTCTGGGCCTCCTTTTTCTTTAGCCAGAAACATGTTTTCATTAGCCAGAAGTGTATTTTCAGGTGTCATTTTCCTAAATCCAAACTTTACAAAACTTGCCATATACTCCCCCAAAGTATGTGGTATAAAATATCAAAATAATTTAATAGTAAGCCTCTAGACTTAACTACCAATTTATAGGAAATATAAGAGCTAGAGAAACATATTAAATGGCATCACTGTCCAGAATGTGGGAAATCTACAGGACAGAGTACCCAATTTCTTTAACAAATTAATAACAGTAGGGAGGGGAAGTTAGATACGTGTTTTAGATTAAGAGATCTATAAATCAAATGCAATATGTGGACCTTGTTTGTATCCTAATCTGAACAAACCAACTGTAAAAAGATACTTTTGAGACAGTTTGAGAAATCTGAATGTTGACTATTTGATGACATTTAAAAATTATCAATGTTGAGAAGCATAATAAAGGTATTGAGGTTGAGATTTTATTTACAATATTCTATGAAAAAAGAAATAAATCATGAAAGTAATAGATAAGACAAGAATGGCAAAATATTGTTAATTGTTGAAGCTATGTGATGTAGGTTTGCAGTTTCCCATAATATAAAGCTGAAACAAACACAATGAGAAGGGAAAAAAATAGATCATCACTGTAATAGAAAGCAAAACTATATTGACTTCAGGCTAGCCATTTAGTTTCAGCCAACAGTGGCATTCTATAAATTAAGTACATAATGTGTTAAATTTGGGAGAAGGAGAGAGAGGCTGGTCGGTTGGTCTGTCCTTTCTTTCTTTCCTTCGCCTTCCCTTTCCTTCCCTTTCTTTCTCTTTCTTTCTTACCGTCTGTCTGTCTTTTTTTCTGTCTTTCTTTTGACAGGATTTCACTCTGTTGCTCAGGCTGCAGTGCAGTGGTGAGATCACAGCTCCTGTGCTCAAGTGATCCTCCTACCTCAGCTGGTCTAGTAGCTGGGAGTCTAGGCATGTGCGCCACCACGGCCAGCTAATTTTTGTAGAGACAGAGTCTCACCATGTTGCCCAAACTGCTCTTGAACTCCTGGACTCAGGCGATCCACCCGCCTCTGCCTCCAAAAGTGCTGGGACTACAGGCGTGAGCCACTGCGCCTGGCCAGGAAAGGCATTTCTAATCAGCCTTACCCTAACCTACAACTCACTGCCCCCTTTTCTCCTATTTAATTGTAGGTGATAATGCATTGTTTGAAAAGAATGATGGGCCAGGCCAGGTGGCTCACGCCTGTAATCCCAGCACTTTGGGAGGCTGAGGCAGGCAGATCACGAGGTCAGGAGATGGAGACCATCCTGGCTAACACAGTGAAACCCCGTCTCTACTAAAAATACAAAAAATTAGCCAGGCGTGGTGCGGGCGCCTGTAGTCCCAGCTACTCGGGAGGCTGAGGTAGGCGAATGGCGTGAACCCAGGAGGCGGAGCTTGCCAGTGAGCCGAGATCATACCACTGCGCTCCAGCCTGAGCGACAGAGACAAAGTCTCAAAAAAAAAAAAATGATGAACTTCGAATGGAGCAGATGGACCTAGTGTTTGCAGTGAAACACAAGTGTCTTTGCCTTCAGCTTTAGTCTCCCTCGTATGCCATTGTGGCGTTCCCCTGGGACTGCCATACTATAACTGTGGAGTCAGTTGTATGACATTTCCTCATAGCCAGAACTTTTGAGTTTATATATTATTCTTTGATAAAATACCTATTTTGCAACAGGACATTCTTTTTTTACCTTTCATTGTTTTTGTTCTGTAAAAATGAATACTCTTGGCCGGGCATGGTGGCTCACGCCCGTAATCCCAGCACTTTGGGAGGCCGAGGCGGGTGGATCACGAGGTCAGGAGATGGAGACCATCCTGGCTAACACGGTGAAACCCCGTCTGTACTAAAAATACAAAAAATTAGCCGGGCGTGGTGGCGGGCGCCTGTAGTCCCAGCTACTCGGGTGGCTGAGGCAGGAGAATGGCAGGAACCCGGGAGGTGGAGCTTGCAGTGAGCCGAGATCGCGCCACTGGAGATCGCGCCACTGCACTGCAGTCTGGGAGACACAGCGAGACTCTGTCTCAAAAAAAAAAAAAAAGAATACTCTTAGTGAATAGATTAAGCGCTTTACACACATAATTTTGTATGGCATAATTTACTTTCTAGGAATTTTTTCTTTCCTGAGACTCTGATTTTATGGTATTTTTCTAGTAGAGCCTGTGGTCTAATCAGAACATGGAACTGTACACAATTGGTATTTTGACACTTATCCATATCACAGCAAAGAGAAGTTTGTAAAATAAATGAATGTTGGAAGCAGTTTCTTCAGCGGACCTGCTTTTCTAAGTTGGGACATTGGTTTGCATGCTGCAAAGGCTTGGCTGAGATGATCTAGAAAGGGGCCCTCACAAATCTGCATTTTAGAACAAATGCCCTCTTTCTGAATTCTCTAGTATTATTCTACCATAGCAAATTTAAGAATAAGCCAAACAATTTCTAAGATCCAACTCCAGCTATAATTGAAATTATTAAGGCACCATACATAAAAGTATTTTGCATTTGAACATATTTGTGTAATCTGTTTTATCAACATATCTGTAATCTATTGTATCAACTAAATTTTGAGTTCTCAAATGATCTGGAGTCATTTCTGTCAATGTAACTCTACATAGCCTCTGTCATAATTGAAAGTGTAAAAATACTTGCTAAATATATCTTAATTAAACCTGACTTGTTTCATCTCCTAAACCTAGAACTTTAAGCCCAGAACTTTGGTTGATAGGAGAAGGTTTAAGTACAAAAAAAAAGTAAATAAGACTGGATTATGAAAAGTATTACTACTGAGAGCATTTTTTTGAATTATGAAAAGTACCATGAGATAGTCATGGAAGTTGCATAGTGGCCAGGCACAGTGACTCACACCTGTAAACCCAGCATTTTGGGAGACCGAGGCAGGTGGATTGTTTGAGCTGAGGAGTTCAAGACCAGCCTAGGCAACATGGCAAAACCCCATCTCTACCAAAAAAAAAAA